TAACTCCCAGAAGGCCGTGGCAGAGCCGTCGCCTAAACTTCGGATTAGCACTGACTTAGACTACGAACAAAGCGGCGCTGTCGTGGCAGCCTAGGTGGGTGCCATGTCACTACTGTGGCTGGTGAGCGAGCCGCTCGCGCGTGAAGATATGGTTGATCGGTAGCTTGTATTAAATAATGAAATAACGATGACAAACAACAGGGCATTTTGCAACTATTCGCTGCTTTTGGTATTGTGGCTAGTGTGAACTAGGTGTGATGCGCGGTCGTTGCGTGGACTAGTTTCTTATGTGTATTTTCGGCGCGTAAGTCCTCGTAGTGGCTGTCCGCACAGCTAAGCCGCTTAATCAGCACGAGACTAGCAAAGTGACGATGTTAGAGTGCTAAAAGAGATCGTGCGTAGCCCGAACCTGCTAACGTGAGCGCTCCTCGTCGAGAATACTATCGCAATAAGCACAGTACCTACATAAGACCACAGCCGACAGCCGCTGTCTACGTAGCAGCCTGTTTCGGCGTAGTGCTGGAAGCCCGCCTAATTCTTTCGATTTCCTGAATAGGCATATCTGATTATAAAGCAGCTAATTAGTGTAGCGGGAACGGGCTTACAGCCATTATCCACTTAACAGACGACTCTAGTACGTAGGCTATAACTCCTTAAGCGCTAGGTCCTGCTAAGCGCCCCCCTTAGCGCGCCTCGTCATAGCGCACCTACTTAATACTACTTACGCGCTGTGAAGCGACCGACACGATACCGCGCCTAAGCTACCTTAGTAGAAGTAACCATCATAAAAGTTACCATCATTAGCAGGGGCCCGTCTAGCCTAGTAACACTTAAATACCTATGTAAGGCGCACTAATCACTTAGCTGCGAGCCAGTTAAGGCCGTTCTGTTTAAGTATTAAAATGACGTGGGGGGCACATTTCTGGCCTAAGCCTACAAGGATGCAGAGGTTAGTCACACCGCTGTCGGGCAGACGCGGAAGCTAATAGTGAAATATAGCTCGTCTTATCTAGGCAGCTCACTTACTTTTCCGACTTCCGCCATGCGAGTTTAAAGGATTTCCTTACCACGTCTAAGTATGTAGAGTACCTACGCAACTACTATTCCCACTTCAACTTATGGCCGCATATCAAGCTAAGCACGAGAGTCGTCTCAGTCTCGCGAGGGAGCCGTCACAACCACGTCATCAAGTACCAGGCAGATAGACGCTCGCTGCAGTGGGGTTGTGATACGGTTGCCATCTGTTCCGGCCTGCACGTGGAGCCGAACGTCCCGGAGATCAGCGGCATTAGCCACGCACGGAGGGTCATGCACTCGTCGCAGTCAAATCACGCAAACAGTTTGATAGCTACAGGGAGGTGATGGTGGTGGGCTGCGGCGAGACCAGGGCAGATGTGGCGTATCTGGCGGCCACCCATCCCGAAGTCGACTGAGTCATCCTCTGCCATAAGGACGGGTTCCATTTTATACTAAAGGTTCGTCTTACTCATTTATTAAGCGACCCTATCATGGTTTCGGATTAACGCAAGTCGCCGCGAAGCGCAACCCCAGACCCGTGTTACTGCCTATCTTAGGTCGCGTGCCGAACCCTGCCGAGCCCGGCATTCTAATCAACGTGAGCTAAGCCAATCTCTTTAATACTACCTACGTTCACCGCATACTACGTCAAAAAGACGACTAGCTCTAGGAATACTATTGACTCTACATCACTGTCCTGCTGTGGCTAAGCTCAGAGACGACGGCGGGGATGGACCAGTGGGCGGGTGAGATTAGCCTGGCACGCCACCATCCTTCCATAAGTGGCCAGACCCTTATACACCGATATCTAGAAGTAGTACACTAACTGCTTTATAGTCTTCTTTAATAAGTCGATAAAGGTTTGCCTTTACATTAGCCTACCTTATTAGCCGCAGGTTCTAGGGCGCCGCTTATGGCTCTACGCTCTCTGGTCAGCTCTGGTCTAGACGCCCGTAGAAGCCATAAACGGGCGATATGTTGACCTGGCCCCTTAGCCGCTATAAGTGCAGCCGTCTGGCTTCGTAGAGTTCGTCGATAATAGCAGGCTAGAGTATTAGAAGATAAAAGAACGCCAGGCGCGCCCTGACATGATGGTCCTCTGCACCGGCTTTAAGTAGAGTTTCCCTTTCCTCGACACGCAGAGCAACCCGCCGTATACGACACCAGACACGGCCAACATTCGACGCATATAGGAGCGTAGTGACCCGTCTGTCGGCTTAATCAGATTTATGCGCCCGTCGCTGGGTGCTATACCGCCGCTGTCGGAGATACAGGCTTAGCTGTGGATTACTTACCTTCTGGCCGGGCACTGCATCCCTCGGCCTCCGCACCCCCAGGATAAGTGGCACTATAGGCTACGCAGCGTACCCGGAGCCCATGTGCAGTACGGTGTAGACTATAAGAGCTATGTGTATTAACTAGCTCTTAATATGGGCTCCGCACCTGGTCTTACGGATGTGGTGTGCCTTAGGTCATTAAAGCTACTTCTCGTGTAGGCGCTTAGCGTAAACTTTAACACTAAGTTCCGTCTGCGCGGCCTGTGGCGATGGGACAGTGCGTCCGCTTTACTCACGTCACGTGAGTTCTAGGCGACTATCACTAGACGGCTGATCATTTTTAGTGAGTTCTGGCGCGCCCTCACGAGGTCTTAAGACTAAGCATACGCAGGCCACTTCGCAGTCTCTTTCTTACCTATGATACTCTTTGGGCCTATTAATCTAGTATGTCTCTTGGTTAGAGCATTTTTCCCCGTCTAAGGGAGGGCAACCACCACAGGATAACATGGCACAGTGTCGGCACAGCACCTAAGCGCTGTTATGGCTAGGAGCGGCTGTTTTAACTGTCCCTGCGTAGGTCGAAATATGCGTTGCCACTAGAAGAGTCTGATTATCGAGACTGCTAATGGGGCAACATAGAATTAAGTTAAATGATCTATAATACTTATTAGCCTGATCCTTATGCATACGCCCTACTGTTAAGCCTTTGTGAATCCGGGTAACGTAGTCGTTAGCATGGTCTTATCGCTAACGCGACCGTAAAATTTAACGTGAAGTCGTATAAGTTCACTATCACAATCTGCGTTGTTTTATCTTTCCTTCTATAGTTGTTGCTGGTGCCTGCTTACATCTACGGCGAAGAATGCCCTATATGGCAGCTGATGACTAGATGTCGTTTTCGACGCTTCACTCTCCCCTTGCGTACTTAAGTCTCTGCATCGTCCGCACGTGTCCCACCAAGCCCCCTTTGCTGACTGATTCATTCTGGCTGAGCGAACTTCGTAGAAACTAGAAATGGCCTCACTGCGCCCTCGTC